GTCGACTAAACTAAAGTACAGCGCAGAGTCCATGCAGCTAAACTAAAATCAAAAAAAAAAAAAATAATAAATACAAAAATACAAAAAAAAAAAAAAAAAAATACGAGAAAAAAATAAACAGAAATTGGCTTTGTGTGTGCATGTATGAAATTCATATTAAGCAGCAGAGAGACGGCGCGACTGAGGACTGCGAACCGAGGCAGAAGCAGAAGCAGCAGCAGCAGCGGATAAACGAACCCGAGCAGAGGAGACACTGCCACTGCCAATGGGAGAGACTGGCAGAGGCGGTGGCGGAGGTGTAAGCAGAGCAGAGTGGCATGGCATGGTGTGGCTCAGCGCAGGCAGAGGCTCAGAGCTCCGGCAATTGAAAGAGACCCATTGAGTGGGCAGCGCAGCACAACGGGCGTACGTACGGGCGACCCACCGGCTAGAGATGGGCGCTCGGGTCGGGTTATCATCATCGCGGAACCCGAACCAGCACGAGAACCGGCTAACCGGCGCCACAACGCACGACGCCCACACTCGGACTTCTCATATAACATTTGCGCATATAATCTCATCGTCGTCGTACTTGTACTCGTCGTAGTTCATACGGTTCCCATTCCACGCCATTCATCCCCTCACACGTAAATTTGATCTACTTAAAGCCACTCGAAAGCTATTCAACAGATGAGGATGAGGACACACACACACACACACACACACACAAGTTTTGGCAATCAATAAAATATATATATGAATGCATGATAGTTATCTGAAAATTATGATACAGTTTTCACAATTTTGATGGTTAAAAAATGTTAACCGATCATCCTTATGAGAAAGCCATAGCGAGAAAGTATGTATGTGTATACTCGTTGATAGATACTCTTTGTGTGTTCTCGTTGATAGATACTCGTTGATAGATTGAAAGATATACTCGTTCTTAGATAGATGTGCTCGTTAATAGATGTACTCGTTGATAGATTTGCTCATTGAAAGATGCACTCGTTGATATATTTGGTACTAGTTCATGGATGCTCTTATTAATATATGTACTCGTTACTCGTTGATACAGCAAACCACACGTTTATTGATAGATATCTAGATAGTACTAGATAGATGTCCCAGATGATTATTCCCTGAATGATCTGGCTTCAGAACATAATTAGTTTACAATGATTTTTCGGTTACCAAATCACAGATTTACCTTCATTTTAGGTCAATGTTAACCATGTGGTTTCCTCTGAGGCGCGTGCTCGCCCATTACTGTCCCACCTATCCAGTGCCCCATCCCTAGGCCACCCGACCGAAGCTCGCTTTTCTTTGCCACTCATCTTTCGTTTTTTCTTCTTCTTGATTTCGTTCTTTCTTTGTGGGTTTATTTATTTTTTTTTATTTTTTTTTTTTAATATTTTATAACCAATAAAAAGATAAATAAATATTAAGAGTGAAAGAAAGAGGAGTGTGACAACTGCCCACAGAATGGGTTTTTGCACAACAGAAGGATGGGCGAGAGCCGGCGATATGCAGCAGGCGACATCTACTGCTCGTTCGGGAATCACTATCAGTGTCCACCGACTGACTGGCCAAATACTGGGCGACCCAGTACTCCTCTCCACCCCCATTAACTTTGTTTATTTATTTGCCCAGTGCCAGTGCCAGTGCCAGTGCTAGTGGGGAATGGATGCAGAGCGAGAGAGAATGGAATGTGGATGTAGTGCAGTGCAGTGTGGAGTGTGGAGTGGCACAAGGTGTGGCTAGGGGGTAGAATACCCAATACTCGAGTATACGTATACGTAATGGTCAATGCAAAAACAAGTATTTAAATTTGTAATAATGCACAGTGGGCTGCAAGGGGAAGAGATCCCACTCAACGAGAAGGAATTTCTGTAGAACTCGAAAAGCCCTTGGCATTCCCATAGCCGGTCCTTCGTTTCAGGTGAAAAATCTAGAAAAATCCTTAAGCCCCCAAATGCCACAGCTGTCGCAGTTGGTTGAGTGATTTTTAAATGGAATTTGCATTAAATAAATAAATGAATGAACAAATATTCATATAAATTTTCCATGCAAATAAAATACGAATGCACCGAATGACGCGACTTGCAGCATCACCTATCGGTGGAATAACAGAACTAATCCCAGATCAATCAAAGATCATTTGATGTATCATTAAGGAAACATTAAGTAGAGAAAGAAAACCAAATCACGCGACATGCAGCATCACCCATCGGTAGTAGAAATATTCACGAATGATTAACTAAATAAAGAAAGAGATGACCTGACATGTGGTTTCGTATCGATAACTAATTAGGCAGCTTTTCCATGCTGTCGACAAAAGATGCGTTTGACATTTTGTTGCACAAGATACACCGCATCGCATCCAGAGGAGGAGGTGGAAGAGGGGCACACATGCCACTGTGGGCGCACATGCATGTGCCACACGCATTGTGGAAATTTTGTTATGGATTTTGCTCTTCTGCTGCTCTGCTTTTGGGGTGTCGACATTTTCGACACCCATCAATCAATCAATCAATCAGTCGAGTTATAAATGCTCAAACAAAAACGAATGAATGCACGTGGAAGGATAATGCGTTATAGAGCGGTACAGTTGTGTGTAAGTACTCAAAGTACCCGCACACAAGCAGCACACAAGTGCGAGTATTCCATATTGAAGGTCAACTTCTGTTTGGGACAAGGCAGCGGCAGGGGCAAGGCCAACGTGAAGCCCAAAACAACAGCAACAACTTCTGCAGCAGCGAAAAAGTTGACGGTGGATCCAGGCACAAGAAAAACGTGTTGCCATTATACAATTATCTAGATACCTACTTACATATGCGCATAAGATACGAGTGCGAGTACTGTACAGTGTAGTACATCCATCTGTTTGTACCCATGTTAATAAATACTTACTCGTACTTATAATCGCGTATGTACTTGCGAGCTCGTACTTGGTGCCCCTGAAGTACACGTGCCGAAGGGCACGACGGCTACTCCAAACTCAATCGGAGCTCGTCTCAATTCCCATCTTAATGTAGGGACAAACATTTGACAACATATACGTTTGGGACTATGCCATAATAGGCACTCTCTTTCGCCTAAAGGATTTGGTGGGTGTCCAAAGATAATCCAAATGGTTTTATCTTTACTCTTTACAAACGATAAAAGAAATTTTGGTTCTTGTTATACCCGATACTCAAAATGAGTATTGGGGTATATTAGATTTGTGGTAAAAGTGGATGTGTGTAACGTCCAGAAGGAATCGTTTCCGACCCTATAAAGTATATATATTCTTGATCAGCATCAATAGCCGAGTCGATTGAGCCCTGTCTGTCTGTCCGTCTGTCCGTCCGTCCGTCCGTCCGTCTGTCCGTCTGTCCGTCTGTCCGTCCCCTTCAGCGCCTAATGCTCAAAGACTATAAGAGCTAGAGCAACGATGTTTTGGATCCAGACTTCTGTGATATGTCACTGCTCCAAAAATATTTCAAAACTTTGCCCCGCCCACTTCCGCCCCCACAAAGGGCGAAAATCTGTGGCATCCACAATTTCGACGATACGAGAAAACTAAAATACTAAAAAGAAAACGCAGAATCGTAGAAGATGACTATATCTTCTAGAGTGCAAAATCTGAACCAGATCGTATAATTATTACAGCCAGAATCACGAAAACAATTTCACTCTTTCTCGCTCTGTCTCACTCTAACACACAGGTTTCATGGTCGGTTTTGCCAATTGCAAAATATGAGTTCAAGGATCTCAGAACCTATAAAAGCCAGAGCAACCAAATTTGGTATCCACACTCCTGTGATATCGGACCTTGACCGTTTCCTGTCCAAATTTCGCCACACCCCCTTCCGCCCCCGCAAAGGACGAAAATCTGAGGCAACCACAAATCTCAGAGACTATTAAGGCTAGAGTAACCAAATTTGGTGCACACACTCCTTTAAGATGTCACTATAAAACGTATATCTCAGAATTTCGCCCCACCCCCATCCGCCCCCACAAAGGACGAAAATCTGTTGCATCCACAATATTGCAGATTTGAGAAAACTAAAAACGCAGAATCATAGATAATGACCATATCTATTAGATTGCTGAATCTGGATCAGATCAGATCATTTTTATAGCCAAAAGGAACAAATCAATTTGCAGTGGCTACGCAGCGCCCGACGTCACGCTCAGACTGATTTTCTGTCTCTCTCGCACGCACTCTTTGTCGTGTCGTTAAATATTAGCGGCGTCTGCCGGAGGAGAGCCATACTGACTTAGTATCGGGTATAACCGTAGAGTTGCGGTGTCCGCAGCAACTCACAACGTTCCCCCTCGTTTTTCTTTATTTAGGAGATGATTAGTGGTTTATTATGAACTACTCCTTTAAACAAGAGCTCCATATCTTACAATTGGTACAAATTCCAGGTTGGACACGACATGTATTTTGTTTTTCGATTCGCGGGGATTCTCTTTGGCGCTCGTAATGCGTCAGTAATGCTCTGGAATCAATAGAGCGCCTTCTTGTGCATCATCAACAGTTGAAACCCATATGCCCCAAGGGCACACAGGGTATAGAAATCTCTCTCCCAACCTCACTCTCTCTCTCTCTCTGAATGGATGGGAGAGTCTGTTGTGGTGTCTTGCTGTCTGGTTGCGTCGTAGCACACATCTCGATGAATGCATTCCTGGGCGTGGGCGTGGTTCTTCGTTATATTTGCCATCTCCTTTCCGCGCACCTCAGACGCCCCCGCTGTGCCAACGAAATACCGCCCCTCTCATGGTTGATAGCCGAATGATTTGACCGATGTATGCCCCCTCCTTGCTGCTACTGCTGCCACCGCCTCTGCTTCTGCCACTGCCTCTGCTGCTGCCACTGCCACTGTTGCTGCCTGCAGTCACTGCCTCTGTCGGCGCTTCCGCTGCACAATTTTCTGCCCGTCAGCACTGCTTCTATTCGGCGGCAGTGTTTGTTCTGCCTTCTTGAACTGCTTTGATTGCACGGATTCTCTTATCTCTAGCACAATCCACTGCTTGCTAAACACAGCCTGAACTGCTTGGATGTTGCACTTTCCACCGCCAAAAGCCAGCATCATCAACAGGTAAGTACGACGTATAGTCCTCCCTAGTGCCCCTCTACATGGAAAATATTTCCTCAGCAAATGTATGACTTTTGCTTAAGATCGGTAAAATAAAGAACGATTTACTGTATCGTATGTATCTGATATCCATGCTTGTTCCTCTGTCAGATGCCGGCTACTGCTTTGTATTCCATGAATATACTGCTTCTTCTATTCGTTCAGATTCCACCTGCTTCTTCTATCCGATCATTCTGATTTCTCTGCCAGATACAGATTAGCTTCCCTTTTTTCTCACCAGATCCCACTGCTTGTTCTTGCTCCTTCGACTGATTCTTCCTCTGGCAGATCTCACCGCTTCTTTTGTCCGCTTCCACTGCTTCTTCCTCTAGCAGATCTCACTGCTTCTTCTGTCCGCTTCCACTGCTTCGTTCTCTGGCAGATCTCACTGCTTCTTCTGTCCGCTTCAACTGCTTCGTCCTCTGGTCAGATTCTTCTGCGCTTCTTCTGCCCTGATTCCCCACTGATTCTGTTTTTTTGTGCGTCGCCCATACAAAATTCAATTAAATATTTCTCGTAATTGTTTAACAATAGAGGAACAAACGCGCGCGCGCGCGGTAGCAAATATTCGTGTGACGCGCGTCGGCAAGTTACAAAAAAAAATAATATACAAAAAATGCTATTGTTATTGTGTATTGTTCGGGCGAAATACTGGGGCTTTCGGGTGGGGTGCCAGTGTCGGTGTCGAGTATCGGGTATATCCATTTACACTCCGATTTCTGTACAAGGTATTGCAGTGGCTTTTATCTCTCTCTCTCTTTCCCTTTCCCCCTCTGCGACTCTCTATGAACTGACTCTTTCTTCATTAGTCAATGAGTTGTGTTATTGCTTTTGTTGCTGCACTTTTTACTGTATATTAATTGATTTATTTATTCATATTCATATGCAACAACGCTGCGTATACGCAATGTGAGACGACGACGGCAGGGCCATTGGATTATGGCCAGGGGCACAGGGGAACGGGGTAGGAGGGTCGCTAAAAGGGTGAAAAATGTTCGATATTGCGTTTTGCATATTAAAATAATTCATTCTCAATAATTCATATGCGACAACGACCACGGGGCCTCACAAACACACACAAATCTCACATTGGAGCCCCTTTAGCATGGTTGATGGACGTGAAAAATGAATAAGTGGGAAATTGTTTAGACCACTTTGTTTCGGTCACATTTTGCGTACAGTGACAGCTCGAAAGAGTGGATGGAAAACGACAAGAAAAGGAGACCATTTGCCATTCACACACACAGGCATTTATGGGCCGAGTGTCACCACTATTCATAGAATCACAGCTATACCCGTTCCCCTTTAATGCGTTCGAATCACCCCGAATCCCTAGAAACCGAATATGAATCGTTAACATGTTTCTGCAGGGATTCGACACCCACTACGGAGAACTCATCGCATGTCCAACATTATTGCACACATGGAGATTGGTATTGTGAGGGTGCTCTGTACTGCTTACTCGTTCTCTCTATGCTCTCTCTTGTTCGGATCTGAGCTGCTTCGTTCAGTCCCTTTTGGGCGAGCGATTCGAAGCGAGTCCCCGAATCCCAACGAGTCGATTCGTTCGCCCGTTCATGCAGGGCTCTACTAGACACTCGCTAGCAAACCCTTTTGTCAGCTTAGGTAAAAGCATACCGAGAGCTTTTCGGACCTCAACCGATTGTAGATCGTTCTTTTGTGGAAGATCTACGAGTATTATTTATGCCATGCAGGAGGAACTATTGTATGCCTCCTTTCCCATTCGCTTGGTTCTACACGTACCGATGCTCTGGAGAAAGTAAGTTTTGCCATTGAGCAATCTCTATCTCTGCTCTACGTCACGCCACACATCATGTTTGGACGGGAGAAAAAAGCCACATTGAGAGAAAAACGTGACAAATTTCACAGCAAAGATAAATGTAAACCGTGAACAACGAAGGAGAGGAGTAGTTGGTAAAGGTTAGCGCCAAAGGTGAGTACGACCTTGTCCGATCTATGGAGAGACGATGTGCAGCGGTTCCGAAGAGCGGTTTCCAAGAGCCTCCCTCGTACTAAGACTTGCTTCTGGGACTGGAATATCATTTCCAGTATTTAAACCAGAGATTCTGACTAGAAGTTTCCTGTTTTATGCTTTCTTTCTCAATCAATTTTCTGTTTATGCCTCAACTAATCAATTACCTTCTATATGTTCTTGTTGTTCTTTTGGTTTGAAGCCTGGAGTCGGATTTATTCCATCCCTGACCATATATAGAATGAAATATACATACCAGAGGCAAATGTACACGCATGGCATATAAATGTTCATTCCGTACAGATGCGATGGGGAAAACAATGGTTGGAAAATACTCGTATGTATGCCAGGCGAGAGACGAGAGATGAGAGTACTCGTTTGAAGAGAAATTCTGATGAAATCACCCAAAAAAAAAAAAAAAAATACAAATCAGAAGGGAGGGGCGACACAGAGACAGACCCCCAACATATTTTGTCGGATTTTCCATAATTTCCATGGGCGATAGATGGGTGTTGGGGGTTGGGGATGTATGCCCCTCATATAAATTATTTCCACAGAAAAAAACAAAGCAAAAAACTGGACTTCACTGGCGGCAGTAGAATCCAGTGACCAGGGTTTTGTGGGTCTGATGCATTTCGTACAGTCTTCCATTTACAATTGTCTTTAATTATTCGCATTGTTCGTTACATTCCGGTCCGTTCCGTTCCGTTCTCGTTGGACTGTTGTTATGACATTAATAATGTCATTTAGCTCATCAGCAGCCTGATTTTCTCTGCTCTTTTTCCCCTCCTTCCAGAAATTGCGAAAAACATTTCGTGTATTGAGAGTTTGCTTGTTTTTGTTTCAGCTCTGATTGGTTTTGGCCACTTTTTTCATGGCTCAACAGACGACTGGCCATCCATAAATCACACATGCACATATCTGCGACTGCAGGAGGAGTGATGCCACAGGATTCATGCAAAAAGTTTGTTCATTTTCACATGCCTTAATAACAGAAATCTTAATAATAATTTAATTTAAATTTTAGTTATCTGGCGAACAGAGGAATACTGAATGCAGAAATATTTCTACATTGAAGTGCCAGCCTCCCAATGAATCCGGGCGAAATCTTAACGCTAAACATCCACAAAAGATGTTTACAGTTCATGGATACCCTTTGGAACAGCCGTTTAAACAATGGTTGCCACTTGAAGACTCAAAATATATAAATACTAAGATGCGTCTTTCTTGGAACCTGTCTTCCAATGAAACCTGTCTGAATCGTGAATGACAGTGTCCTGAGTGGTGGGGACTTCTGCCATGACACGCCCGACAAACAACCGGGGACTGCGTCATTCAAATTCATGGGTTGTAAGACACTTGTTTAGACACCTCTAGAATGTACTGCCATTCGATGTTCGAATGACTCTTCACACATACCATAGTATTGTATTTTATTCCGATATATACCTAATTCTCTTTTTACATGTTCTTTTTTTACACGGTTTTGAAATAACACGGTTAGAAAATTAAAATTTTTTAAGTTTCTACACGGTTTTATTCGATTTAACACTGTTTAAAATAGCAACACAAATATATAAAAACGCACACAGCTCACAAAACGGTTAAAAACCAAAGGAAAACCAGAAAGAGCAAAAAGAGAATATGTACATATTTGTTTCTCTTTCGGTTTTTTTTGCGTATTCGATCACTGTCTTTTTTTACACGGTTTTATACGGTGTATATACATTTAAAACACAAACATCTGCGTATCTTTATGGGATTTCATTGTAACAAACACTGGGATCACTTGTAACGAATGTATGCCATTCACTTATAGGAAATTTTTGCAGCGAATTGTGAAATTTATATGCATCACCATCGCTGTTCCTTACATTTCCACATGCATAGATCTCTGTATTCTTGGTAGAAATAGTTCCTTTTTAATCCTATTTAATGCCAACTTTTATGCTCTTGTATTCTGATAGCAATCATGCTCCTCTCTTGCTGAAATTTTCTCTAATGTGCCTGCTTCCGAGTACTTATTCAATTATTCGGAAATGCTCAATCAAAATTACAATACCAATTTGTGGCTAAATATTTGTCAAGGCCATTCAGAGGCCAGATGTCACATTGAAATTTAACACTTTCCAGCCAGAGATCCAATGCCACACATCCTTCTTGGAACTGAGCTCGAAACTCAATGGCCATTGGCTGGATAATGATGACTATCCATTAATTTGCCCAAATATTTATTCAATTAATTTCTGTTGTTGTTTGGGAATTGGATAATCAAGTAATCTCTGATAAATATTTCAAACCACAACACTTCTCTGTCTCTGGCTCAGTCACACAACAATTCATACACAAAATACGAATAATACAAATTACAAATAATTAGCCAAAAGTCCACCAGCAAGTAAGGGTCAAGAATATCAATTAGAAGACTGGCTCCGTCTTAGTTTTGTTTTTCCCTCTTTACAGTACAGCCGCAATATGACTGATCTGACGAACCGTGTTCGCAAGATTTGCTTTATTTTCAGTGTCCTGTACAACGAACCGCTCGTCTGGGACATAATCAAGAGCTATGCTTTCTTTGTGGTATCCATTCCCATTGCTAAGCATTTCGATGGCATGATGTTGCATCCTTAAATCCCAATTCTTATTCAAAATTGATTGGATTCAGGGGCTCTATGGCAGGCTTATTAAATTCTCTATAATTCAGGTAAGGACCAATTGTTAAGGCTTAATTTCTTTGTAACTCTTTTCCCTCTTCCTCTTTTTTGGCAGGCTCTGGCGTTACAATTTTTAGTGCTTTTCAAAATTAATCTGTTTCTAGATTAAAAATCTGATGTAATCCAAATATTCTTTGTTTCATTTGTGTGGGTAGGGGGGAGTGGGTGGGAACAACCAAGTTTATTGACTTACCGCATGAAGGCGCCACTGCTGCCGCCGCCGGTGGAGAGCAGCTGATGATGATGATGATGCTGCTGCTGCTGCTGCTGCTGATAGAGATGCTGATGCTGATGCGGATGCTGACGCAGGCCGAGGGCCATATCACCGAAATCAATGCTACTGCTGCCGCCACTGAGAGCCGGATGACGATGATGATGCTGCTGTTGTTGTTGCTGCTGCTGCTGCTGCTGCTGATGATAATGACTCATGGAGACGACTCCTCCGCTGGTGGTGCTGCTAATGCTGGCAGATCGACTACCGCCATGCAGGGACGGTGCATGTCCATGTGAAGGATGTGATTGAAGAGGATGCGGATGCGAATGCGAATGCGGATACGTATGTGAATGCTGATGCGGCGAGGATGCCGGCGATGATGTGGCAGCCACAGCGGGATATGAGATCAACTGTTGCTGCTGCTGCTGTTGTTGTTGTTGTTGTTGTTGTTGTTGTTGTTGTTGTTGTTGTTGTTGTTGTTGCTGCTGTTGTTGTTGTGGAAATGTGGATTTTTGGATTGTGGTGGCGGCGGCGGAGGAGGCATTGATCGTTCCATTGGCCAGCAGCGTATGCCCATGCCCGTGCGATGGCGAGTGCGTTGACATTGTCAACCGATTCGATTCCGGCGTATGGGCAATGCTCGTATAGTGCTACAGAGAAAGAGAGCGAAAGAGAGTGAGAGATAAGGGGTAATAGATTAGATACATAGAATATATATATATATATCTATATATTTATCATCATCTTCTGCTCACCATTTGTAGCACATCGCATTCCTTGGGTACAACGTGCAGCGTGAGCACCGCCGGCGTTTGCTTGATCATCGAAACGATGGTGCTGTAGGCAATGCCCGCAATCGGCTGATTGTTGACCATCAGCACTCGGTCGCCCGTCTGGAGGTTCGCATAGTGGGCCGGTCCGTTCGCCTGCACCTCTTTGATGAAAATGGTCTCCATCGCTTTCACCTGGTATGGCGGCAGCGATGTCGGTGATGTTGGTGGCGGCTCCATTCCGGCAGCAGCGCTGTTGCTGTTGCTGTTGTTGCTGTTGCTGTTGCTATTGCTGCTGCTGCTGCCGCTGTGGCTGTGTCTGTTGCTGTTGTTGCTGTTGCTGCCACCTCCAGTGGATGCTTCCTACACACAAGCGACGAAGAAATGAAGACCAAAAAGCAGAAAACAGAGAGAAAACAACAACAGTTTAAGGCACATAAATCGTGAAACGAAAACAACAACAACAACACATTCACCCAGGAGAGCGGATAGCGCGAAGAGAGAGAGAGCGCGCGCGATCCCGAGAGAGCGAGAGCCGAGCCCCGCCGTTGGGATCGAGAGAGCGTGCCGCTGATCCAGCTTCATCATACGCTTTCCACCGACACTTTGTTCATCGATTGGCAAAACAAACCTTCCACTCCATCGATCAAAAATAATATTATATTTTGTAATACTCAAAAGCCCTTACAGACCACAAAAAAGCGTCGGTGGAAAAGGTATCGTGTAACGGCAGCTTAAAGAGAGTGTCGGGAGAGAGAAAGAGCGAGCAAGAGCGGGGGCTATGATTTTCAATATTAAAAAGCACAAACAAAACGCAAATTAGTGCAAAAACAAAATACAAAAAAAAAAAGCCGAATGAGCAGAGAAATATGGATTCCGTCCATTCGAAATACCCTTTCAATGGATCTTCTTCTGCTTCGATATAATAAGAAGAATAACATAATCCCGAATATTTATATTAATCCGCACAAAATGGGTACCTGGGCAAACTTCTTGATAAGCCGCATATGCCCGATGCTGTAAGGCATCGTCGCTCGCAAATGAAAAGCAAAAAGAAAGCAACACAAAATAGTCGCAATTTGAATAAGTCGCGCGTGCGCTGCCGCTGCCGCTGCCGATGCCGCCGCTCACGTAACGCGCGTCGCAGAGCGCGTCGTCATCAGAGCCGGCAGAAGAGTTTGTGTTCCAGCATTGAAAGTTTACTCCCTGCAAGCCTGTTTACGCTCTCCCTCTCTGTCACACGAAATTTGCATGCGGGAAAGAAAGAAGGAAAGAAAAAAAAGCAAAAGTGGACGGGCAGCGGCAGTCGGATGACTAATTGCACCTCTCTGCTTGACCGGCGCGCCAGCGCAGTCGGCGCTCTCTTTCAATCACTCGCTCGCTCTCTTCGTTTCCTTTCGCAAGGTCTTCCCTGTTCCCTTTCCCACCGTTTCTCACCTGTGACCAGCTGGTGACGCCGGCCGACGCAGCGGCCGCTGCTGCGTTGCCATCATCTTCCGGTGGATAGGCAATAAAGTGACGCAGCGTAAAGCCGAAGCCCTGATACGGACGCCTTCGTATGACAATCAGCTTCGGTTGTATGGATGAGGCGGCAATTGCAGCATTATTAGCCGCCGCCGCTGCCGCTGCTGCTGCTGCCGCTGCCGCCGCTGCTGCTGCCGTTGCTGTCGCTGCTGCTGCAGTCGATGGTGTGGCCACGGCCGATGCAGCCTGCGCCGCTGCCTGTGCCGCTGCAGCTGCGTTCGAGTTTTGTAACATTTTGCTGTCGTTGCCGCTGCTGCTGCTGCTCTGCTGCTCTGCTGCGTTTGTGTTTGGTTTTTGATTGGATTACTCTCTCCCTCTTTTACTCTCACGCCTGCCCGGTCGGTCCTGTCGGTCGGTCGGTCGGTTGGTCTGCCGCTCTCTTTCGGTGGCTTCTCTGCTTGTTGTTTCTGCGGTTTTGGTGGTTTTCTCTGTTTTATTTTGTCTGCTTCTTTCTATTTGTCGTGTTTTTGTTGCTTTTGCTTTTGCCTTTGCCTTTGCCTTTGCTCAGGCATTTGCTTTTGATTTTGTTGTGGGCTTTTGCCTATGTATGTGCTCCTCAACCTGTTGTTGGCCCGTCGTTGCCCACCCCTCCTCATTTGTGGGTGGGGGCGGGTGGCGTTCGGAAGGGGGAGGGTGCTGGTGCTGGTGCTGGTATTGGCCCTGGCACTGGCCCACCGCTGCGACTGCGGCTACTACTATTATTATTCTATCTCTTTGGCTTTTAGCGTCTGAGATGCGTTGCAAATAAACGGCGCTTTGGCGCCACGAGGCCCATCGTAGCGCTGGATATTATCATATTTACTTTCCCTAGAATAAGTTTTTGCACTGCTTATCCCATGGATCCCCAATGGAGTAGTACGATCTGAAATGAGGAAATAAGGAAATTTCGTGGTTAAAAAAAAAGGTGGAACCAAATACTTTTAGATATGGGATCGGGTAGATATTGATAGATAAAAAGTCCTTAAAATACACCTAAAGAAAAAACTCTGTGAAATATACCTAGTATTGGTTATATTTTTTAAATTTATTTATTTTTATTTATTTATATTTATTTATATTTATTTTTATATATTTTATTTATTTATGGGTTTTTTATGTATATTTATGATAATTTTTAGTAAATCTTTAGGTATTCAGAATCCAATCTATAGAAAATAGAGAACCATTATATTTTTTTATTTTTTTTAATTTAATTTTTTGTACAATGGTTCCTTCTGACATTCCCCGTTCTAAAGCTGAGAAACATCAAAGATCAAAGTACATGGCAGTTCATTCTTGTATAAAAAAATAAATGGAAGCAAAGTCTTCATAGCTTTGCTGGTGGAAAACCCCACTTTAAAGCCCATGTATTACGAAAAGGTCAGAGATCAGTAAACCCTAGAAACGAGACACAAAAAAAAAAAAAAAAATCTTACTTTTTGGGGGGCGGTTTTTCTGTGTCGTCATGCGATTGAGTGACGAGGAGGTTCATGTGGCAAATGCGACGAGGCGTGCCTGCTGCTACAGTTTTAAGTTTTCACCGCCCCGCCCCTCTCCGCTCAACTCCTCGCCACCGATTTGATGGTCAATGTCCAGCGGACACACGATCATACGCGAGTTATGGCTGAGGCTGTATTTCTTCTTTTTTGTTTTGTTTTTTTTTTTTTTATATGCATTGTAATTAAAGCTGTAAAAGGTTTTTGTTTTTTTTTTTAAGCTTTGGTGTTTTTTTAGCTCCAGTAAAAAGCGTTTAAAAAGCACTCAACTAACTGTAATCGGACATATGGGGATGATCATAATGATCCCTGATATAATGACGATAGACAGAGTTTGTCGTTCCACAGTTTGTTGCCGCCTGCCGCCTGCCGCCTGCCGCCTCACAAAAAAAAAAAAACAAACAAAACGAGAAAAACTTTCAAGCCCAAAAGAAATGAAAACGAAAAATGAAATAGAAGTAAAAATACAGCAACTTTTAATGTTTTTTTTTTTTTTTTTTTTCTGTTGAAGGCCAAAACAAACAGATGGGGCAAGGGTTAATACCCCCATTCAGCGGATCGGGGCGTTCCCCCAAATGTCATTGACAGAATGATGATGGGATATCAAACCATCGTGGAGATGGAAACAGTGACCCCACTGGATAATGATCAGATCATCCTTTAATCGAAATTCTAAAACATTTTCGGTGGCTCTTCGTCGCTTCAAATCCGATCCTGTGCTCATGGGTCGACTGCTTGCTGTATCCTTCCATTCAAATTAAAAAAAAAAAAAATAGTCAGCAGAGGTTGGGTAGGGGGAAGCGATTTCTCATTCCATCTAGAGTCTAGAACGATCTACAAGAGCTTTTCAATCGCATAATTGGTGTAGTGGCACTCTTTTCCCATAGCTCAAATGCTGCCACCCCCTGCTGCTGCCGTCTGTTGGGTCCATGACCCCATGGTACCCCTGGGAGTTCCATTTAATTGGCCCAGCGATAAGGTCAAAGGCCCTGCGCTGGCCCAGTGAAGGGTCAAGCGTCCTTGACTTGCCAAAGGATTTACATATGTCTCTCTGCCTTTCCCTCTCCCTCTCTCTCTCTCTCCCTGTCCGTCTTTGTATGATTTCCTGCTAATTTAAAGATTTGTTTTTATATATATGGTTTTCTTCATTGCTTTTTACATCTCGTAATTAAACAACGAGAAACCGCACCGCACCGCACGACAGACAGACAATAATAATTTCAGAGCTAAGACATATGTAATTACGAGCAACATAGCAACAGATACCGATACAGATACAGATAGAGAGATACAAAGATACTCTATAATTGCCCCATTCTCCCCCCATTTTTTTTTGTTTTTTTTTTACTGGTAATTGCAATTGTCAAAGTGGTTTCTGCGGCTCTCCACCGCACCACTCACTCACTCGCTCGCTCAAGTGTGTCACAAGTCATTCAAGGCAATAGATATACGATCGTACTTGGGAGGGGGGGAAGGGAGGGAGGGAGTGGGAGACCAGCAGCACAGATAATCTTCAAGTAAAACCGAAAAGAAACAGAATGGCAAATCATTAAAAACAGAAAACATGAGTGTTTTAGCCGGCTATCGACTTTTGGCTTCTGGCACAAAAACAACATCATATAACGACCTATATATCAGAGTAATCAGCAAATGGAAACGCGATAGACGATTGAAGGTTGAGCGAGGCAGCTACCCAGCAACCAGCAACCAGAACCAGAACCCACCGGCAGCGTGTTCTAAATTCCGTGTCATGCACACGACATGCATTTTGGACATTATTTTTTGCAGTCGATCATCAATATGCAACGACGGATGTTTGTACGGATTTTTCATGCATACGACATGCATGTTGTGGGCTTTTCATTTTACTCAAATTTTCTTAAGCAAAAATAAAAACAATTTAGGTTCTTCCACACATCGACAGGCATGGAAATTGATTGTTTTTCCGCCTAATAAAATATGATATCACGGACAAACAAAACAAACAGAGGAATCAGTTGCTCAGTCTTTTTCTTTTTTCTTTTTTTCTATTTATTTATTGACGACTTTACTTAACAGCTTTTCTAGTGTTTTTTTTGTTTTTGTTGTTGCCCTTTCGGTCTTTCTTTTGCCGTGCTTTCGTTGATAACACAATTATATTGATTGTTTTGCACTACTCGTTGCGCGAGTGGGAGAAACGAGAGAGAATCTTCCGCACTACAAGATACCTAGAATATCTACAAGATGTGATATATCCAGCCCAACAACGAGTATGGGATCATAATGATTTTTAAAAAACAATGTCATAGATCTATCGTATAAAACTCCTAGAAACACTCCATTTGAAAATTGCAATCAAAATTTAAACTAAATATTCGGGTTTAAAATACAAATATGTATATGGAAATTAAAAAGAATTCCCTTTGATTTAAATATAAAGGCATTAAAAAGTTTTGTTTAGTAAACTCATATATTTAATCTAAATATAAAACACTTCAAAATATATATAAAAAAATACTACATTTGTTTGAGAAATAATGAAATTAAATATGAAAAATATGTAATTTAAATATGAAAATTATCAAAAATAATATATAAATAATATGAGAAATATTTCATTTAAAAATCAGCAAATTTTCAATGGAGTGATTTCAAGATCCACCTCACTCGCTCTTGAAAAATACAGGGTATATAAAATAAAGAAAAAGAAAAAAACAAAACACGAAACAAAGAAAAAGAAGAAAACGAAAACCGTATCGTCCGTCGTATCGCCCGTATGGCATGGAAGATTGAAGCAGAGGACCAGCAGTGGAGAGCGAATGAAGGTAGAACAGGCGTGTAATGAGCAAACGAACGGTAAAAGTACAGAACGGCCCAGCAGTAGAGAAGGGAAGAGGAGCAGAGAGAGAGAGAGAGAGATCCGCAGAATTACATCAATCAAAGTTGTTTTCTTTTGTTTCGGGGGGCGTCACAGAAACAACAATCCGAAACCAAAACGAGATTAAATGAGAATTAAGTAGAAAAAAAGACGGCTGATAGAAAATAAAAACAGCCTATTAATCGGGTGGTGGGGGGTGTTTGGGGATGTGTTGGCTAATGGAAATAAGAATAATCGCTGGATCAGGGCCATGGATCAATCAGATTGCAGTTGCCTCACCCCCCGCCTCCCTCTCCCTCTCCCTCTCCCTCTCTCTCTCTCTCTCTCTCTCTGTACTGCCCTTTAGTTCTGCCTCTCGTTGCAGTTATCTCTTTTGAGTTAAGAGAGAAGTAGGAGTCCAAAATCACGCAAGAACAAAGCTCAAAATGCATTCAAAGCTGAGAAAAAAGTGGTCGGTAACAGAGTTGACAAAATGCAACCTTGCTTTGGTCCTTTTCTGCACGACAGGTCTCCTCTCTGCTCTTTACTGCTGTGAATGAAACATGCGACGTCCACTTTAAAGGGTACTGGATGTCACGACGATTTTATCCATTTATTGTTGTATTTTTTTTAGTTTAAGCTACTTTTGTTGAGTTTTTTTTTATGTGTGCGGTATTTTTTGATTATTTTCGGTATTTATTCTAATTTTGTATTATTATTTTTTCTTCAATTTTTTACTTTTCATTTAATTTAATTTTTTTTAATATGTGTTATTTAATATATATTTTTTTTAATAGTTGTTATTGTATATATTTTTTTTATTTTAATATTTGTTATTTTATATATATTTTTTGTATATTTTACTTCTTTTATATTATTGATTATTTTTTGTATTTTTTAAATTTTTAATTGTTGTGTTTAATTTGTATAATTTTGACTTTATATTTTTTCAAAAAAATTTGTTTATAAATATTTTTTAATATTTTTATGTTTTTTTTTTAGTAAAATCGATATTTTTTATATATTATTTTTTTTTAATATATGTTATATATATATTTTTTTTTTTTTTTTATTCTTTTATATTATTGATTATTTTTCTACTTTTTTTATTTTTAATTGTTGTTTTTAGTTGTATAATTTTTAATTTGTATTTGTATATATTTTAAA